CAGTTAGGAGTTTGGAATGATGAAACCCTTCGCTTATTAATATAAGCATGGCCAAAAGGAGAGGAGGATGGGTGAAGTACCTTCCTTGTGTGACTCCATAATCTTTGACATAACAATAGCTGCTATAATGAGACCCAATAGTGGGTTAGGTAATTGTTGTCAGATAACTAGTGTACTAATTATTGAATGCATTATTGACACCAAAGCCTATTTATTTTAACTTGCTTAATAATAATTGTCTACCTAGCATACCTAAGTATAATATTATATTATACACATGATAAAAGATCCTATACCTATCTATTACAAAAAATATATCTAAAGTTCACAGGAATTGAGGAATATGCGAAGATAATAGGTAATTTCAATAGACGCCTAATATAATTAATATGATAATATTATATTATAACATGTGAGCATGCAAGTGTTATTGCATAATATATATATATGTGGTCATGTGGATCATATGGGTGCCTATAATATAATTTAAAAGACGCCGCACCTAATAAATGGATAGTCAAAACTCAAAACTGTATCAGCTGTACCTTTCTTACGAGTCTTACAAACGAAAATGCTTATGATATTGCTCAATGCCTACTCATGTAGGCACCCAGCCATGTTCGGATGTTCCACAATAACAGCATTATTAGGAATATACCATCGTAGAGCACTGTGGTGACCACGGACGCGTATGCGAGCTGTATATTGTCGTAGTCGATTATATTAAAAATGTTTCGTAATATACCTTCTATTTTTTTTCCTTATTCGTAAGTACGTATATGTATGTATTGTCCAGACTTTCTGTCTGGTATCCTCCGTGATTCCCCCAGGGACGCGGAAATGTTTAACGATATTCCTTCCGCGTATGCAGCGCGCCAAGCATATTATAGGTAGGTACCTACCTATAATAAATAATATGGTCCGTAAACCCACCTTACCATAATATTATGTGAAATGTACGTCATAGCTAGTGCGTAACACAACAAAATATTTCTACGCTTGATGTACCATGGAATATTATCATTATTAGGGCTGTGTCGCTGTGAATATATTTTATTAGATTAAGCATTATTGAATTTTTGTTTTAGCTTATTGTAAAACATATACCTACCTATCTAACCTAACAGTTAACACCAACTATTTAAACAACTATGGCCTTATTGGCGTGACAATGAATTCGATTTTAAGACTCACCTATTTTACAATGTTAACCTTGTTATGAAATTTATTCTTTTTTATTGAATTTTAAATTGTTGTAAAAAGTTTTTCAGTAAAAGAAAATGTAATGTGTAGGTGTTACCATTGGTTTTAATTTTTAAAATATAGTATACATATTATATAAAGTAAATTTTAAAATCAATGGTGTTACTATGATATTAGACTAGTTTATTTTGGTGTAGGTATCATATTAGACAAAACAAGTACCAGTATACCACCCAAATACCAAAATTGTGTTGAATATCCAAACCGTGTTAAGATATAAAAATTATTAAATAAACACACATCATTGTAAAACCAGTAGGTACCCAAGGTTTATAGATAATAGAGGTTGCCTCAAAGTGATGTAAACAAATCAAAACCCACCGCTCCGTCCCCTATCATGTGACGTCACCCGTCGTACAACATTTAGCGGCTATTTAGTGTTTATATGATACGTAGACGTAGTACAAGTTTATAATTATTAATAAAGTATTAATAATTATATAGTATTTGTATTATTTTTACTGTTTTTTGATACAATATTTGTATATCAATATTCTTTTCTAATTCCCCGTTCTATGTTTATAAAACATATTTCTTTTAATATTATCTTAGATTGAAAATCAATAATATGAAAATGATAATGGCATATTGCCAAAAAGCAATCTAATTAGCTCTAGTTTACTATGCAAAGTACCTATTATAATACGCGTCGCATCAAATAATATACATTGTTCATTACCAATCGGTATGCTGAAATAGAAATTGCTTAACCATGAGCTACTAGCACAACTTGAGCAGTCCTTTGCCAGGACACTTACCTACCAGACATTTCCTATAGTCGACAAACTTCAGTATAAGCTCTTAGTTCTCATAGTGCTGGACGCTGGTCATTAATATGACCATATTATTGTTTGAATTACATCATAAATATTATTTTAACAGCAATTTTGACAAATAAATTTTTATTTTGTATAATATGCATATCAATTATAAAACATTATAGTTATACATATTAATTACATTTCTTAAACATAGTATTTTTCATCATTAATATTATAATAATATAAAAGTAATAAAAATTATGCTCAAGTAAAATATGAGTTGTGTAAAAGATATAAAAAATAGTTCAGTCAAAATCAAATTAAAATAATACATTGGAGTAATTAAAAGTAATAATTTAATTTTTTAGTCGCTTAGATTTAAGTCATCAGTCTTTTTAATTTTAGTAATCTATGCAGCTGAAGTTTTGCTTTTCTTTTTTTATTTAACACATTTGTATGCTGATTTAAATATTTCATACGAATAAGTACTCTTTGTTTTACATACGTCTCAACTCTCAACAACAGGGTTATACTTTTCTTCCATTTCCATTCTCTCAATAATTTTTTTTGACAAATTTTTAACAACTTTAGGTCCCTTAGGAATTTGTTGTTTGGTAATCTTTTTGAATAATCTTTCAATTCAAAAAATATATAAATATTTTTCGATCAAACACGGCATTAAGTATAATGTATAAACTATTAGCAGTGATAGCGATTAGTGAATTATTGTACGACGGGTGACGTCACGGACAATTTACCCCCACTCCCATTTTTTCATAATTTTTGAATTGAGGCAACCTCTATTATCTATAAACCTTGGTAGGTACCTACATGCATTGCTCCACTCAAGAATTTAAAATGTCTTGTATTAGATAGGCTGTTATTACACTAGGTACTTTTAAATCCTGTCGACCCTTATGTTTTAGATTGAAATAATCAATTATCTTATATTACCCAATTTATAAGAAAAATAAAAATTTTCTAACAAACTAAATAAAAGAGATTGGGTACATCATATAAGAATGTACGACTATTTCCCAATGCCTATTTTCGGTGTAGAAGGACATATTTTCCCCTGGTCAATTTACTATTATTATTATAAAAGTAATTTTTATTGTATCATAAAGAGTATAATTGATTCAATAAAAATGTTTATACTATTATAATATAATATACATATATGTAAATAGGCATATAGCTATATGTCAATGTTCATAAGTCATAACCCAACAGTATTCTCCAAATTATAGAAGATAACATAATTTCACAATGAATAATGATGCCCGATAAACACATAGATACCTAATCAACATTTTCATGGTTTGTTATTTAAAAAAAAAAACATGCCTCCCATGGCGGAAAATTTACTACTACATAAAAAACATTCGGGAGAACTGTCTATTTACAAAAATATATAATATAGAGTCTCCCGATTTTCTAGTTTTTTTTCAACGCACAAAATACCAGTATAATAAGTCTGAATTATAAGTTATAAGTTTTATGTGCAATAATCTGAGTTAGTTTCAGAATAATTTTATTGTATTTGATTATAAAATAAATGTTAGAATATATCAGTCAATACCTAAATAGCTAAATTGACATAGGTACATAATAAACAATACAAATGTTATAACTTATAACTATTAATTTATTAAACCAGTTAACAATGAATTTATAGTTTTTTACTTAAATACAAAAATATAATAATTTGATTTAATTTATGATAAAACTATAATATTCTCTCTATTATTACAAAGTTCTAATAAAATGTATAAAAATAATTAGTGGAGATTCGAAAAGCAAATTTACAGTTTACATGTATCACTTTATCTAATATAATTAAATATATTATTATATTGTAAAAAATAATTTGGCTTGCATTCAAATTAAAACTAAAATTCAAAAAAATATGTGACTATCATCTGTGACTCGTGACTGATAAAATATCACTATAAAATTTGGTAAAAAATTATTAACTAAATGATATGTGCAATAAAAATAAATATATAAAAATAAAGAAAATTTAGTTCTTAAAAAGTTATTAATACCATAGGTTAAGCATACTATAAACTATCATACATATAGAAAATACTATTCAGTTTTATTCATTCAATTAGTCTGTTTTATATGGATAGCATAAAAGCTTCATCACTAATACATTCAGATGTATTGTAGTTATCCAATCTATAATATAAACTTTGTCAATTGATATGTTATGCCGGGTCCACTTGGGAAACAAAGATAAAAGTATAAAGTATAAAACTTAACAGTAATTATGTTTCAGTAGAATATTAACAAAAAATGTTTTCTAGGAAGGGGTGGTCTTATTATAAGGAATAATTGTATAAGCCTCTAAACAATGTTAAAAATCAATTTTGATACAAAATATTCCGAAAAAAAATGTTTTTGATATTAACATTATTACAGTGTTAATGTTTAGTATAAGTTCAAGAAAATATGTAAATAAAATAAATTATATGCAAGGATGGAAACATTGGACCCCGGCCCTATATAAATGGCATTGAATGTTTTAATTAAAAATAGATTTCCCTATTTGTAATGAGAAAATTAAGTTTTTGTTTTATTTACTATTGTACTGTGTAAACTCGGCATTAGAGTAGTTCAATGTAGTTACAATGTAATGCATTTAAACCATGTTAAAAATAATGATACAAAATGTATTTAAGTATAAAAATGAAATACGATACTTATGAATAAAATAAAATACTGATTAATTGTCAACATAAAACATTTGAACACAAAATGGACGGATAAGATTACATTGTGTCAAGCGCATTGTCATAAGTCTAAATAATAATACCTATAATACAGTGGATTCTCGCTAATCTAGACCTCGCTAGACCAGATGTCCAGATCTGTATCAAGTCTAGATTAGTGACTATACTGTAATTTAAAAATAAAAATAATTAATACTACATTTCCCTGTCTGATTTGTCAATAAAATATTGTATCATGTTATACTGGAACGGTGGAAACAGTACTATGAGGAGTAGTAGGACGAGATCCAGCTAAAGAATGTGTTGTAGATGCATTCAGCGAGGCCATAGTTCCAATCTAAAATAAAATAATTATTAATAAAATAATTTATTTATAAATGTCTACATAAGGATAAATGATAAAACACATACTCTCAAATGTGCTAAATCTTCAAGCTTAGTCAAATCAAACAGTTCCAAATACAAAGAATATACGAGTACCCAACCGTATACATTGATGACACTGAACAATGCACCCAGCAAAATCATGGAGAAATTATATCCAAATATGGGATCGTTTGCTATTGAAGAAAACAACCAAGCAATAAATCGAAATACTGTAAATGCAGCAAACGAAAATAACCAAGGCACAATCCGTTTCTCGTGCTCCTGAAAGTTGTAGAAATTATTATTAATATTATCATTATTACATTAGTTATGAAAATAATGATTATTTTACCTTGCGTAATGCAGATATTAAAATCAAACTTGTCACAAAAATCACAGCTGCCACAACAAATGAAAACAATGAGAACAAGACCAATAAATTTCTGACTGAAATATAAAAAATATTCATAAAATAATTAGGTGATTAAGCAAATTGTTGAACACAAAACATAATATTATTTATATTCACCCCAAGAGCTTCCAACATATACAAACTGATAGCTCATGATATAGTAACCATAATGTGTAGATCCAGGAGCAGCCATTGCCAAACAATATGTATCAAACGCAGATGTCACCAATGTAAAAATGCTTAGAAACTAGTGGACATTAAAACCATATTATAATTAATTATAAATATAAATTAAAAATAAAAACAAAACCAATGTACAAGTGAATCTGTCCTAATGACTGAATAATACCTAATTAATAATAATAATAATAATAATAATAATGCTTACCAGAGAATAGAAGGCAATGACAAGTGCACCTCTCTGTGTATCAAGGAAGTAAGCATCTTTCAATATAGGACGTTGGTACCATGGCACACGTAAAGATTTCATGGAACGCGTTGACCGTAGGTTAGAAGATCGGATAGTCAAATGACTAGCGTGTATCGAGTACACGGACGGCGTTCCCATACTGGGAGTTTTACTTCGGGCGTACATTTTGACAGAATCAGTGGAATCAATAAATAATGTATATAGTGTAAAATAAAAATGATAAAACAAACGACTTAACTGTCAACCGAGAAAAACTATTAAATTGTAGGAGTTGTGTTTTTTTTCAAACATCAGATGGTCACATTGAATAGAAAAACTACTATTAAAAGTCCAAACCGTTTTATGAAAAGTTTAAAATAAAATATACATCCACCCGAACTTGGAATGCAAACTCAATTGATAGTGTTCATTGTTAAATGTTAACTGTTCAAAATAATTTAATTATGTTTAGTAAATAGTAAACACAATTCACAACTCAATTAACACGCCCAGGTTGATAGAGAGCTACAAGTGATAAGTGATAACCATCCACGGTTTAAACCATAGACATATTAACTAAATGGACTGCGCCTTCTACACCCCCTGCCTACCGAACAAATCAGCCAACATCAGATAAGCAAAAAGGGGTATTGTGGAAGAAAAAATTAATTATATCTTGTTTCTTCCATGTATTATATTTCCCGCCTATCCATTTTAAAAAAAACAACCATTTTCACTAGGTTCACAAACTAAATCCGAACTGTCATCTATTGTTGGTATAATTTCTTCTACAGCTTCAATGTTAGATAGCCCTGTAATATTCAAACTATCACCTTGGAGATCTGATTGTGATAATGTAATAACACTATAGCTCATATTTTCTGTCGTATCTTGAACAACAATGTGGGATGGTTCATGTGTATTCGAACTATCATATTGTTCTTTGTTGAAAACATAAACACATTCTTCAACATCAAATAATGAAGGTACTGCGCTCTTAATAAGTGAAAAGGATTGAGATCTTGCAGTTTTAATAAAATCAATTTCCCTAAAGTGTTTGCTACACACTAAACTGCTATGGTTAGTTTTAAAATTAGGATAATATGATTTTATACACTTTTCCCATATATTTCTGAGATTTTCGTCAGCTGGAAACCTTTTAACAAAAAACATAAATCTATGACTAACGATACAAGTGAAACATATATATTAATATCTTACTTGTGTAGTTTAATGTTGCATTGTTTTGATGAAGCACCTTTACAAAGTGGAATCGAGCAAATCTTAACCATTGTGATATACAACCAAAGACAATAATAACTAAAACTAAATATACTCTACACTAAAAGTAATTAGGGGGACGAGGTGGCCGAGCGGTCTAACGCGTCGACTGCGGCGCTGGCAGTCGCGGGTTCGCCTCTCGACCACTGGGCGGCATTTTTCTCCGGGCAAGTCACGGTGTCCGGAGTACAAGTGCCGCCATCCCCCAACCCGGGGCATGGCAGAAACCTACGGGTGCCCCAATAAAAATTCTGCCACCACAAACACACACGTGTACCAACCTACCCAATCTAAAAACCTACAGTTCCCTACCAACACCCAATGGCCTATGTTGCCGCGGGTTATCCAATAAAAAAAAAAAAAAAAAAAAAAAGTAATTAGTACAGTTAAAAATTCAAATATTATGAAGTCAAAATTCAATTATCGCAAAATTAAGGACCCGTCACAACGACAGTAGAACACGAAGTCACGAGGTGATAAATGAAAACAAACAGCGTTATCACTTACTGTTTTTTTTATCAGTCGTTATATTCATGGAATAAACGAAGTATATGTAATATTTTCTTCCCTGATACCCCTTTTTGCTTATCTGATGTTGGCTTATTAATTGTTGCCCAAGGCGCAGTCCATTTAGTTAATATGTCTATGGTTTAAACCTTAGATCATATACTATACGTCTATACGCATATATCTACAACCGTGGTAAGTGATAACTATAAAAAAAATAGTGCTACAATTAATTATAGAGCCCTACTAAAATAGCGTACTTAAAGAGCCCTAGCTACTACAGTATACAATCATCCGATCTGATATATAAATATAATAATAAGATAATAATAGATCATTGAATCTAAATCTCAACATGTATCAATGAAATGTGGAATACTTTATACTTACTAGTCATACGACATACATCTATAGACTATAATAAACTAAACTTATTAAATATTATTATAGAAAAATCGACAATTTTGTGTAGGTATTTAATCAATGCTCGAAGCAGGAGACAAACTCAGGTAGCCGCATAGATAATAAAGATATATCTTTATTATATATGTCCACAACTGCAGCAGCTGCTTGTGAACTGTGGTTCACAAGCACGATTAAAGATATAATATCACGAATCACGGCGTATAGAAGGTATAGAGTACTTTACCTTATATCGTAGTCATTTACCCCCGTATTATCCTGCTTGTTTACTCTCTTCAAGTACGCTTATTGTGCTCTTAGTATAAATTGTGTAATTAATTCTTAAAAAAATAAAAAATAAAAAAAAACAGTGAGTGTTGTTGAACACTCGGCAGGAACGAAGTTCAGTGCATGTGATGCGAGACGCGGAAACATATATGGTTAGAAAAATATAAATAAATAGTGATAGAGAGAGAGAGAGACAGAGAGAGAAATGAATGCTTGTATAAATATATCGCGCGCATGGTAATAAAATTATAATAAATTTTTTCTGAGTATTATGAAAAAATGGTATTTTAATCATTATAAAAGTACAAAGCAATTATGAAATTAATCAGTAGGTCTAACGCGTCGACTGCGGCGCTGGCAGTCGCGGGTTCGCCTCTCGACCACTGGGCGGCATTTTTCTCCGGGCAAGTCACGGTGTCCGGAGTACAAGTGCCGCCATCCCCCAACCCGGGGCATGGCAGAAACCTACGGGTGCCCCAATAAAAATTCTGCCACCACAAACACACACGTGTACCAACCTACCCAATCTAAAAACCTACAGTTCCCTCCCAACACCCAATGGCCTATGTTGCCGCGGGTTATCCAAAAAAAGAAAAAAAAAAAAAACCTATTGATGGTTAAGTCAATTCTACTGAAAGAAATTTTAATAATGATACGGTTGATACAGCTTGTACTCGATTATCGTTTTTCAAAAGTAAATTTTAATTTCATTTGTTTAATAGATTTGTATGTATATAGAGAAGAAGGTAAATGGAAATCACAATGGAATTTATAAATTTATAAATTTAAGGGGCAAAAATTATTTCGAAAATAAAATTCTTATCACTTTCCTTATCAATAAAAACAATATTTATGAAAATCCCATCAAAAACTCAAAACCCCGAGTTTCCCCTTGGCGAGGTGGGTGTTAGTACTCTCCCGGACCAAAATCCATCAAAAAAGCAAAATCCAAAAAGGGGGGGAGGAGGTGCCCCCGTTCCCTAAAGCGGAAAACTGTAGTCTTCATAATAAGAATGGGTTCCCCCTTGGTCCGAGGTCTTTAACTTGAATTCCGGCCGAGTTACACTCAACTCAAAATGTGGGGGGGGGTGGGGGCTTTGGTTCCCTAATGTTGAAAATTCATCTGGGGCCTAAAAAATTGAGATGCCCATTGGTCCAGGGTCTCTAAGTCGAATACCGGCTAAGTTATGCTTCGTCAAAAATAATTACTCGTTTAATGGGTCCCCCCCCCATTCCGCCCGACGGTCACCTCTACGCGCGTGACGACCGATGTTGGGTAGCCTACGCGAATGGAACCCGGTTGCCAGATGGTACGATCCTAGTGGGGACATACGATAATATGAGAGGAGGGAGGGGATATGTAAGCCGGCAGCCGAGCAGAGCCGAGCCGAGCCGAGCAATTTTTCAGTGTTACGCTTTTCGGTGTTACGCTTTTTGGTGTTGCGATTTTTGGTGTTGCGATTTTTTTCCAGCGACTCCCATCCACCTAACGCCCCATAAGGAACTTCGTTCCAAAAAAAATCGAGTCAAAAGCCAAGAAAAAGCACACAATCAAAATATGATTATAGGCAACAGGTTGCGGTCGCATGAATTTCGAAATAATTTCAATCTATATTAATTTCAGTATTTTTTTAATTAAATAGGCAATATTATAATTATTGTTTATTTTATACTTTTTATTCATTCAGTTGGTATTTTTTAAATACTATTCAATAGGTAGCTAAAAAAGTACCTTTATTCAAATTATTTATTTAGAATAATTACATAGCGTACATGGTACATAGGTACCGGAAGATGAGTTATTGTCATAAAATATATTATTATTGTACCAAAGTAATTTTATAAATTAATTATTATACATAAATTGCATACTGCATAGATCTTATACTCAAGGTATAAGGTATAGATAAATTTTAAAATTGTAATTTATAACCATGAATAATAATAAATATTAAATAAGCACAGCCCCGTCGCCATAGATAATAGAAGAATGGATAGGCCATGTTAAATCATACAACGCAAGTGGTCGCGGTCTTTTAAGTAAGAGAGAGAAGGCAGTTTCTCACTCCCGCACTTGGCGACTTTGTGAGGTTATGTTCAAATATAAAAATTGAAATAGATAACATCCTTAGATAATAAAATAAACTGAAAATTACTTTTGAAATTTGCTGTAACTTGTAACTAGTACCTATATTTTTCAATTTCTTGTATAGTTTCAAGTTGGATTATTTTTTATTTAAATTGCCACATTGAACAATGGTGCAAGTTTGTTGTGTGTGCTGCAATACCAGCAACAATAATAAAAACGTTTCTTTTCATTTGTAAGTATGCATATAGTATACCTAACTACCTACATATTTTTAGTGAACATAATAAGTAATTACAATACATTATTTTTAGTTTTCCAAAAGATATATCTAAAAAAACTGTGTGGCTTAATGCACTTAATTTAACATCAATACCAAATTGGAAGAAAGTTTGTAGTGCACATTTTAGTGCTAATGATTTTATATTTAGCAACAATCGTAATATTCTCCAAAAAACTGCAGTACCAACCAGGTTAAGATTCTTAAAAAATGAACATATTAAAAATCTACTTAAAACATTTTTTTTACTTTTTAGATATTTTAAATTGATGGAGGAACATAGTTATGCTGATAATATATCAATAAGTAGTCCGTGTTTAATGATTTCTGATGTGTATGATAGTTCACCATCTAGTTCTAGGACAAAATGGTATAGATTTTACAGCTATTTAATTAACGATATCTAATATGATGCTTTAATTTCAGTTATGAAAATGTAAACGTTGTTGATGTGTATGATAGTTCACCATCTAGTTCTAGGACAAAATGGTATAGATTTTACAGCTATTTAATTAACAATATCTAATATGATGCTTTAATTTCAGTTATGAAAATGTAAACGTTGTTGATGTGTATGATAGTTCACCATCTAGTTCTAGGACAAAATGGTATAGATTTTACAGCTATTTAATTAACGATATCTAATATGATGCTTTAATTTCAGTTATGAAAATGTAAACGTTGTTGATGTGTATGATAGTTCACCATCTAGTTCTAGGACAAAATGGTATAGATTTTACAGCTATTTAATTAACAATATCTAATATGATGCTTTAATTTCAGTTATGAAAATGTAAACGTTGTTGATGTGTATGATAGTTCACCATCTAGTTCTAGGACAAAATGGTATAGATTTTACAGCTATTTAATTAACAATATCTAATATGATGCTTTAATTTCAGTTATGAAAATGTAAACGTTGTTGATGTGTATGATAGTTCACCATCTAGTTCTAGGACAAAATGGTATAGATTTTACAGCTATTTAATTAACAATATCTAATATGATGCTTTAATTTCAGTTATGAAAATGTAAACGTTGTTAAAACTTCCCCGCCACCTCTGTTTAATCTCTGCACAGATGTAGAAGTGATAACTCCACCAAGAAAAAAAAGGATTTGGAATCCCAGCCGATTAGGAGATTTAAGTGATGAAGATTTTTCAACTCCCAAAAGAAGAAAAAAAAATCTTTGCTTAGTAAGAACAACTGTTAAAAATATTCGTCGAAGAAATAAAGTATTGAGTCAAAGAAACCAACGTCTCAAAAATAAAGTATCTTCGCTGCTGGATATAATAAATGAATTAAAAAATAAATTGCTTATTTCTGAGCATGCTGCTATAAATTTGGAGGTATTTTACAATATATAACAAATATAATTATATTTTAGGTCAACAAGACATCTCCAAATTTCAACACATGCTGGTGGGATGTCCTCTATATTGGAGAAGTCTTGTTGTTGCTCTCAGGAAGAGTTGGAATGTATAATGCAGTCAGAGTTGGGCTTATCATAGTTACTTTTAACTAAGTTATGTAACTCTGTTACTTTTGTAACTTGTAACAATTTACTTGTGTTTAATTTAACTTGTAACTTGTAACTTTAATTACTACCTATGTTGCATGCACCTATTTAATAAGAAGACTGACTACTGATTTTATGACTGTTATAATATATAATCATGCGTATCTATTATTATTTTTACTTTGATTTATTATATAGGTATTCAGTATACTCAATACATTAAATTATTTTATTATAATTGTAATTAAACAAGTTAATGCAACTTTTAACTTTAAATGTAACTTAGTTACATAACTGTAACTTGTATCCAGTTACATTACATCAAAGTATCTATACTCCGTCCCAGGAGAGAGTGCGACTGGACGGCGACCAAAACGCTTTAATTTCCGCGCTTCCCCACAATTTTACCGGCCAGATCGCCACCCATTGGAACGCGACGGTTACCCGCCTGTACCTAGACCAGTGGCCACATGGTGGGGGAAATTTGGCCTCGCGACGTCAGAGTGAATTCATTTGGGTGCGCGTGGTGGTTGCACTCTCTCCTGGAACGGAGTATAGTATCTTGTAGCTAGTTACACAGTTTTAGAGTAACTTGTAACCAGTTACAACAAACTGAGTGACTGGCCCAACCCTGAATACAGTTTTAGTTAAATCTGTTATAATAATTACTAAGTAATAAGTTACTCTTTATTAATAACCAATAACCATATACTTTATATTTAATAATAACAAAAAAGAAATTTGTTTTGTTTTTAATTTTAATTTAATTTAAGAAAATTATTCAAGTTGATGTTGAAATTTATAAGTTTAGTTATAAGTTTATTAGTTCTTAGTTCTTTTTTTTTATAAATGTCTATCAAATTTTATTTGTTGGGTCAAAAAGCTTTAAAATGTAATACAAGGCTTCTGTGATATACTGTTTCAATAGCAGTTGAAAAATAATAGAAATACATGTGCACATTTTTTTATAAGCATTTAAAGTTTGATGTTTAACAACATTTATCAAATTAAAAATTAATTTTTTTTTTTTATATATATTAGGCTATGGGCTCAGATGTATTACAATCTATTGTAAAGAAATCTTTAGCAGGAAAAAAACAACCATTCAGTAAGGAAATAAAAGAATTTGCAGTCACTTTACAATATTATTCCCCTCGAGCTTATCTGTATGTAAGGAAAATATTTTCTAATGTTCTTCCCCATCCTCGTACATTAAGGCGCTGGTATATGGTCGTAGATGGGAAGCCAGGCTTTACATCAGAAGCTTTTGAGCAGATAAAGAAAAAAGTTAATTTAGGTCCAGTGTACTGTAATCTTGTAATTGATGAAATGTGTGTCAAGCGACATATTGAAATTGACACGCAGCAAAATATTTATGGTCATGTTAACATGGGAACTGATGCCAAATATAACGAAACTGATGATATACCTGTTGCCAAGAATGCATTAGTCTTTTTAATAGTCGGCTTAAATGGATACTGGAAGTTACCAATAGGATACTTTTTAATAGATGGGTTGAATGGAATTGAACGTGGAAATATTTTAAAACAAGCCATTCACCTAATAACTGAAACTGGTGCTCATTTACATTCGATTACATTTGATGGGGCTCCTGTAAACACATCTATGTGTGAATCATTGGGTACACAATTCAGTACAGGAAAATCATATATAATTAATCCAGTTACCAAAGAAAATATTTATTGCTTTTATGACCCGGCCCATATGATCAAGTTAATTAGAAATGCTTTTGGAGACAAAAAGGTTCTAAAAAATGGTAAAGGTGAGTTAATCAAATGGGAGTATGTTGTTATGTTGTATGAAAAAGAGCAAGAAGAAGGTTTGAGGGCTGCCACAAAATTGACATCTAGGCATATATTTTTTCACAATGAAAAAATGAATGTTAGATTAGCCTCACAGTTACTTAGTGATAGTGTCGGAGACGCACTGCTTTATATGCAGACAGTTGATGCTAAATTTGAAGGGTGTAAAGCAACTGCAGAATTCTGCAAAATAATCAACAATGCATTCGACATTTTGAATAGTAGAAAGTTATATTCAAAGAAGCCATACAACTGTGCAATTAATAATGATAACTTTGAAAAATATCAACTTTTTACTATGGAATTTCAAAAATATATCAATGATCTGAAATTTGAAGATGGAACAAATGTTATTGATTCTAAGCGTAAGACAGGTTTCAAAGGAATTGCTATGGGTTTACAAAGTGCTCTTGACTTATTCAAATTGTTAATTTCTAAAAATCATATGACATTTTTCATAACATATAAGATAAGTCAGGATCATTTAGAAACTTTTTTCAGTGCAGTACGTAGTAAAGGTGGGTACAATGACAACCCAACATGTCGCCAATTTCAGGCAGCGTACAAACGGTTATTGGTGCACAACAGTATAATGGGTTCAGTGTATGGCAACTGTTCTATTTTAGATAACACTAATATAGAAGCTGTAAGTGGTAACAAATTATCTAATGAAAATGAAGAAGAGTTAAATTTTAATTTTAACTGGCAAATTGAAAAGCCTTTGCTCCATCATGACTATTTCGAGAATGTACAACACTTGAATCCGTACATTGAAGATGTTTGTGTTTACATTGCTGGATTTGTAACAATGAAAGCAACTCAAAAAATAGCATGTACATCTTGTACATCACATTTATTGGCGACAACTCAAAACAGCAAATTAGCGACCGTTAAGGATAGAGGGTCTCTAATAAAACCCAGTATGGATGTCCAGACAGTGTGCATAGTTACTGAACAAGTCTTCAGGGAATATAACTATGGTATAATGAATAAAACAAAAACAAAAGCTTTTGTTTTAAACAAAGTAAAAACTAACCTATATAGTAAATTTTCCATATTTAACAATATGTCTTGCGTAAATTATGAAAACTGTTTATTCGATAAAACCCATCAATTTGACAGCCATAGAGACCAATTAATACATTTACTTTCGGATATATACTACAAAATACGTTTGTTTCACGAAATAAGGAAATCTAATGACAAAACAACTTTAAGAACAAAGCTCACAAAAATAATTCACTTTAGACATGAGTAACCAAATAATCTGAATATTATACTGTTAAGTGTTAAGTGTTAATTAATATTTTGAAATATTGTTAATTTTTGTTAAAAAGGTTTGAGAATTAATAACGTAATAAAAATAATAATAAATAAAAGAACTTCTATTATCTATGATTAAATTCTTATCTATCTATCGCCACTTATAACCTCAAATAATATTTTCCTATTAATTCCCGTGTGATAAGGGTGCATGGCCTATCCATTCTTCTATTATCTATGCCCGTCGCCATTTAATCATGCGATTTTTTTGGTACGTTTTTCTTATCTGGCGTTTGGTATCCTTATCATTTTCATACAGTTCGGTAGATAATAATAATTAATAATATTTATTCTATATTCTGATTTATTCTATATTAAATCCTTAATTCTGTATTTCTGTCATCCTCAAATAATTTAACTCGCCACCTAGTTTATAATTTATTTTTTTAATATATATTTTTATAATCATCAATTATCAGTCAATATCCAAAGCATAATGGTTGTAAGTATTTTTTTTAACTACATAATTTTTTTTATTATTCAAATTCTGTCCATTTGATTTTGATATAACATTCACAATCAAATTTGATACAAGTATTATATTATTTATATTATGTACAAAACGAATTATATATAGAGGGGCACTTCACAGCAGTAGCGTCATTTCAGTTTTTAATAGAGTTTGACAACATTTTTGACGTACCAGCCCAAATGGGTAACTTAAAAGAACAACTGCTCACAAGCCCGTATTAATATATTATGTTCCTTTTCCTTCTTAAAACACACACATACCTAAAAACTTTCATGCACGTCCTTGCATGCTACTGAATATAAATATATTCCAACTATTAATTAGTAATTATCAATTTATCATTGTGACAATAACTTCTTAGTACCTACCTACACAATTTAATACTTATTAAAAATATTATGAATCTATATTATGTTTTTACGCTAATAAAATATAATCATGGTTAACCAAAAACAATTGGGCTGATTTTAAAAATTACCACATTGCCACCCCTCTCCTAAATAGTGCCACTGCTACACAGTATTCATTAATAGCAACTCAGAATTAACTTTTAATATTTTGAAAACTATAAATTTTATACATCTGGTAATTGTTGTTCTTTAATTTGTAGAAAATCGCATTACAGATTAAAGCAAATTTAGAAAATGTGACCGAACTAACACCCGACGGCGAAGACTTTCGATGGTATTTAAAGGTAAAATAAAAGATTTTTCTAAACAACAATTGAAATTTAATTAAGTTTTATATTAATGTCTTAAAAGTAAATCATTGTTCAAAATATTTTACTTTTAATTTGAATTTAAATTAAAACAATAAACCTATTGATCTTTTTTAAAAAAATGTTATAGTTTCGATGTACAAATTGTGGTGAAGAATCTGACAAATGGATATACTTATCTCAAGATGTTAGTATTTTTAGTTATAATTAATTTAGCTGATTATTTAATTGAAAAAAGTTTTAGATAACAGTCCCAATGAAAGGAAGTAGAGGCCAAGCAAATTTAGTTACCAAATGCAAAATGTGTTCGAGAGACAGTTCATTGGGTAAGTTTTTAGACACTTACATAATATAGAAACATTAATTTTTGAACCACCTAAAATAATTTTATTTTCAGATATTTTACCAGACACTATTTCAAAGTATACAATAGAAGACTCAAATAAATTTAAAAGTATTGTCACATTTGATTGCCGCGGTATATCAATCATTGATTTTTCTCCTAGAAATGGGTTTAAGTGTTGTGGAATTGAAACAAACACTAAATTCGAAGATGTAAATTTAGAAGAAAAAGAATGGGTTGATTATGATGAAAGACAGAACCAGCCTGTTGGAATTTATGATGTCCAATATCAGTTTGTAACCACCAAATAAATGTTCTGTTGTGTCATAAAAGATAATTTAGTTGTAAATTCGTGTTAAAAAAACAAAGAAATTTGATCCATTTATTTAATGTCTAATAAATTCAGGAACATAAAAAATAATATTAAAAAAATGACTAATTAAAAAACTTTACGATTAATCAATCTTCATCTTCCTCATCACTTGTATCGCTTACCTACAAAATGAGAACTCAAATTATTAAATCTGTTAATCTTATAGTTATAGTATAGTTATTATAACTCACACTAATGAGACCAATTTTAAATGAATATACAACCATTGTAATGACTGTGACAATTCCGATTAAAACATTTTTTGTCTCGTCTCTCTTATACCAAGGTGTGACATTCATTTGCTGCTTGGTCTCTTCTAGTTTCTTTTTTTCATTGCATTTATGCGCTTGCCAGTCTATTTTGAAGTATTCTCTAGTTATCCTGTCTATCCAAATGCACAAATTTTTACACGTCTTCAAATGCGATTGCAATCTGTTGTCAGTTAGAGGTGCTTTTAATAGTGGCCCCAGATAGCTGTAAGCAACAGCATCTAATAATGTAGGATGTGACCCAAAGAAATAGAAATTGTTGCCCAAACGACTTTCCAACACATTCATACACTTAATGGCCTCTGCGTAAACCTAATGAATAACATAATTTAGTAGCAATGAATCATTATTAAAACTAAATTTTAACTAATTTACCTCCGTCATTATGTCATTGTCAGAATCTAGGTGATTGTACAATGTATAGATTTTGTGCTTGGCTTCCCTTTCATATGCATTTGGATAATACCAATTAAATGGAAATTTTAAAGCATTCCTATACCATGGTTTAGTAAAATTAAGGCAGTTACTCTCGTCCATCCACCTGTACAATAATAATTAATAATAAATTATCAAATTAATTAAGATGATATGACAGAAACGTGATTTTGAATTGTTTTTTTTTCAAATTTTATTACCAAGCAAACAATAATGCTGGTTCAAGTTGAGCATCAATCATACTAATAGCTGCATGTTCCTCAGCCAATTGCAGACTAGTCAAGCCAAAATCTGGTGTGAGATTCTAGAAAAACATAACACACAACAAATTTAGAAGAGTAAGTTAAGTTAGGTATATTATGCATTAATTTACCTGCTTCTCAAGACAATCCATTAAACTGTCTCGATCCATTAATAATCGCTTATTATAACTCACAACAGGCAAATGCCCAGTAACGGACCTATACGGATTGTTCGAATGGTATATATTAATCGGCGCATTTGTAAACCTAGCAAAAGCCTAAAACAAAATGTATTCCATTGTAGTGTTTTTTATGTACTAGGCATATTAAATCGATATTACTGGAAAAATATTATTAATGTACCAAAACTTCGAGGCATTTATAATCGATTGATGGCAAACCCCAATCGCCTTTCCAAGTGTCTACTTCCAACTGGTGAGGTTTAAACATGTTTTGTTTTGAATATTGGCTTCAGCAAATGAGTAATGACACCGTCAAAAATTATTCCCACAGTAGCGCAAATACTAAACTACTTCTACGGAACAATAAATAATTTCACAAATTTGTTAGTAAGTTATTGTTTAATAAATATTTTTACTGTTGTAGAATTGTTATTCAATATCCACTATCCAGTACTCAGCAAGTTTATTACTTTATAATTCGTAGTTCATGCATCACGAACTACGATTATTATAGATATACAGGATATAATAAAGGTAAAATATCTATTATTGAGAATTGTGGTTTATATATCTTATCAATCGACAAATTTAGTGATAATAATAAGATAAACCATGAACTACTACACAGGACTGGACACTACAGAGAAAATCACGGACACAAAGTTGTATAGGGTTCGTACACATGCGATGTAACTGCACTCTGCCTGTTAGTAGTACGAACTACGTTTTTTATAGGATAACACTAAAGAATAGTGATATTAGTGATAATAACTGATAATAAATTTACTTTTTAATTTTTGAAAAACAATTATTAATAACACAGTTCAAGATAATAATGATACTATTTATAGAATATTATCAGAAAATAATTACTGCTTAAAGAGTGAACAGTTTAAGCATGAACTACTAAGGCGGTATTTTATATAACAAAATATTTCTTATCTCACAGATGGCGCTGTGTCGCATGTGTACCGAATATGTACAACTTTGTGGACGACCCCCTACTCTCCTCCTGCCAATAGTGTCCAGTCCTGTGTAGTAGTTCATGAGATAAACTAAAAATGTTAGGTCCAAAGACGTATTATTACCAGTCCGTGATTATTACCATTTATTACTGTCAACACAAACGTAAATTTTTTATTCAACCCATGCTCAGTGCCGTTGGTAACACTGTGAATTGTGAAGTCGTTTCACAAATTTGTTAATTGTTATACATATTTACCATTTACCACGGACCACGATATCTTACTATCTTAAATCTCAGTTCTCAATAGTTAATTCTTTATTCTTTTAATTTCTTAGTTCTTAGTTCGTGTCCCAGACGATTTGACGAATATCCACATCAAAATGGCTGAAAACACCGTAAGTTTGTTTTATTACGGTTTCAACCCGATGGCGATTCGAAATGAACGTCCAACGTTCTAGAAAATTCCGTACCGATATACATTTAACCAGCTTATTTGGTCGATTTCTGATCATCAAAAACGTGTCCCGCTTCGGTTAGGTTAAAATTTTACAACGTTTCGTAAGCTAGGTACTAACGGCTTTGAGGGGATGCGATCGAATCCCCTGGTATGATACTTGGTTAATACTTTTTAATATGCGAATATTGAAAAATAATAATTCAAGACAATAATAATTATTAGTGATAAATATTATAAAAGTTTTAATGTATAAAGAGTTAAACATAAGTATGCATGGACAGTTTTCAGCAGGAACACAATATTTTTATGCCATGCTACTAAAATAGTAGTAAAGCATAGGGCTCCCTTGAAGTGCTTTCAAAACCTGAGTTTTACATTGCCTTTGATTTAACAAATCTATTATCTATGTTTGCTTGCCACACCATATATGTGTTTGTTTTAACTACAGTTTAAATGGTTATATTTTAGGCAACTGAGGTTGAGCACAAAGCTAAAAGGCCTTTCCGTAAATTCACATTCCGTGGCGTTGACTTGGACCAGCTTTTGGACATCCAGGGGTAAATTATTATATATTGGCATTTATAACACATTTTGACTAAACAATTATGTTCTTTAGAGAACAGTTGATCGAGCTGTTGCACTCACGTGCTCGCAGGCGTTTCTCACGTGGTGGTCTTAAGCGTAAAGAGTCAGCGTTGGTGAAGAAATTGCGCAGAGCAAAGAAAGATGCTCCACCAATGGAAAAACCTGAAGCTGTGAAAACTCATCTCCGCAACATGATCATTGTTCCTGAAATGGTTGGCAGTATCATTGGTGTTTACAATGGAAAAGTTTTCAATCAAATTGAAATCAAAGTTTGTAAAATATTACTTTTTTCATCATACTGAGTTTGTTTAATAAGAGGATGTTGTATCCACTGTTTGTCTCCATCTCACACAAGTATGACATAGCAAATTTTCGTTCATCAGTTTCAATAGTAAACTGTTAGTTTTGATATTAGAGTGAACTGACCTATTGTAAAATTTAAAGGTAAGATTTATATCCAGGGCCCTACTTGGGCTTTTTTGATATTATTTTTAAGTAAGTTATTACCTTTTTGAAATTGTACATTTTAAAATGATCATAATTTACTCAAAAATAATAATATCAATAAAAGTCTTCGTCGTGCCATAGATAATCTTACCCTTAAATTTTACAACAGGTCAATTCAATTTAATAACAAAACTAACATCACACCATTGAAACTGTTGAACGAATATTTGCTATGTCGCTGGCATGTAAAACAATGACAAAAAAAAAGAGAATTAAAAATAATTTATTCATATTTTGGTCTTCAATAGTATTTAATCATATATACTTCATTTTTCAGCCTGAAATGATTGGTCATTATTTGGGTGAATTCAGTGTAACATACAAACCAGTTAAGCACGGAAGACCTGGTATTGGTGCCACTCACAGCTCTAGGTTTATTCCACTGAAATAAATAATATTATTTTTCACAATAAAATAATTCATGTGGTTCTTATGTTAAATTTGTTTTATCAATTATTCTCCTTTTCCTACTTTTTTTGTACTTTAAATTAATTTAAATTGATAATTTTTTAGAATCTACATTGTATAATATCATTGACAGATGAAAGAAAATAGTAAAGTTAATTAGTAATAAGTTACTATGATAAAAAATTCAAACTTTTCAGGGTGAGAAATTTAAACAAAATTAAGTTCCTTTTATTTATAATGTATAAATAGAAGTTGGAATTTTTAGATGTTTTGAATGGTTGAAAAATTATTTTAAAATGTTGAATAATTTATTACTGACCATGGGGGGATTTGCAGAACTTTACATTCCCAAAATAACACTTGTTAGGAAGAATAAGCATACTTACAACATATAAACACTTATAGGTATGATCAATGTTTACAACTTAACTATGTGATAAAAATAATGAAATTATATCCTTTTCATTAATTACATTTTTATGAAAATATAATTTTATTTTTCAATATAAAAAAATGTTCAAAAACTTATTATTTTTAGGTAATAATAAGCATTGATAATAAAAATGGTTATCAATTTAAATTAAATATTTTTGAGGTAATATAGTATGAGCATTGCAACAAAAGTCTGCGCACGCCTATGTGAGTAGCACAGCAGGTTTCAGAACTTAAATATTTTGAGTTTTAACAATTTGACTAAAATCACATCAACTGTACAAAAGGTGTAAGAAAATATGAGAAATTTAGTAAAAACAACTTCAATTGGATTTAAAGCATGTGGCATTTAGATATTGAGTGGGAGGTGAGTTGATATTTAGGATTTTTCGTAATGTTGAAAAATCAATGAAAATTCGATAAGATATACAAATATTGAGGTACACAATTTTTTTTACACTTTTTCATCTCCCTTATAATTTTTTTCCAATTCGAGCATATTATACACCGTTAACCTAACCGCAATAAATTGATTATTATTCATATTCTAATAAGAATCATCACATTATTTTATATCAATATGCAAAAAAATATGTATAGACGCAGATCAAAGATCTGAGAGGCCCCAACAATTTTATTACAACACAAAGGCGATTACGATATACACTATATTTTTAATTTAAAATTTTTTCCTAATATTAATGTATTTAATCTATATTACATATTAATGATAATATATTTATATATTAAATGGGTAACAAAATCCAAATATCTTTTCATATTGTCGGTTTTTCCGAAACTGTAAATTATTAGGTCAATATTCATATCAATTTCCCTAAATTATATGTCTGGACTTCTGGAGGGGGCTGGTCCCCTAGCTCCCCTTGGATACGTCCTTAAAGGGATTTATATAATTATAATTAATAGATAAAATTAATTTTTTTGTGACCTAATTAACACATCTAATGAGAACCACCAACCGCGGTAAATACTAAATAGTTCAAACAAACTAAATTTACAATCGTTTATGCGATATTGCAATTTGCAACTATACGTATTATATTATGTACACAACCGTATGACACACGTCACAAGTAAGTTGTAGGTAGGTTAGGTAGGTACCTAGTCGTTCAAATGATGTAGTAGGTAGGTATACATATATTATTAGATTATAATTTGCCTGGAGTGACAGATTTGGTCATCGTCAAGTGAACTGTGGAGGGGGATATTTCGCATATAAAGCATCTATTGTCGCGTCATTTTATTTAGTGTTGGGTATACTTGTATATTATTCTGCATGCTAACAGTGGTCAGTGGCTTTTTTTTTTTTAATTTTTTAATCTAATATCCATCAACGAAACTAATACAATAAAATTGTACACCTATATTCACAGTGACTAGTGACATCTATATTCTATAATCGTATTTAATTTAATATAATTTTAAATAGGTAGGTATTTTTTTTTAATCGTCTATAATATTGATCGATAAATTCTAACGTCTGCTTATGAACATCTCTCGAATTTTTTTCTGAATTTAGTAATCAAATTCGGCCTATATGGTTGTATAAGTGCAGCGAAGTGACTTACATTGTCTTAAACTTTGACCTGTCTATAATATCCTGTACCTATAGGCTATAGTTACCTACTGCATATTGTGTAGAAATACGTATATCATCATTCATCATACACTAATAGGTAAGTCCTGAATTTGAATCTTGTTAATATACCCAAGTGGAGAATTAACATAATACCTAAATACTTACAATAATTATTAAACTAAGTATATTTTAATGAAATGTATAGGTATATGCCATATGGTACTAATTATACTATAAATTATAATATACTATTATGGTGTACTATGATATTAGAATTCTTGAGAACAAAAGCTGATTGAGATAAAGTATATCTGCATTTTTTTAAAGAATGCAATGAGTATAGGTAAATTATTTTTATAACGTATCTACCTAGTAGGTACCTACATACGATTGGCGATTGCCACACCTAATTACATAGACAAATGTAAAAAAAGGTTTACCCATACCTACTAAAAAATATTTACAATTTTTCTATAGATATATTATAAATATTATATACAATATACCTACCTGTTACCACTGAATAATTAATAAAGAGTGCCGTAGATAGTGGAGGAGCTTAAGGGCTTAGCCCCCCTCCCCAGAATATTAAATTGAAAATTTTATGCTCACCTATTTCAGGCACGAATTGGATTTAATAAATTATGATTCGGTAACATTAAAATTTAAAGTACATAAGACACATTTAAATTAACAACAAGAAATAAAAAATATAATAGGTAGGTACCTACCTATAACAAATTCCAAATTAATCATATCACAATATCCATTAGGTACTTATAACGCGTTATACATCAACAACAAACAGTGCTACTATATAATATAATAGTATACTTTAGAAGTTTCAAGTACCCACAAATAATATTATACAATCACTAGAAAATAACTAAAATTGTTATTCTAGGTTTTTTAATATGTAATTTCGTCCAAATTTGAACTTAAAATGACTATAAAAATAAACTGTGCTTATGTATTTTTTAGATTTTTTGGTAACAGAATTAACTACTTACGTGGAATCTTGTTTTACATTTTCAATCCTTAGATATAAAAGTTGAACATTTTATAAATTTACAACTACAAAATAATTCTTCAATTTTAAATTTGATAAATTTTGTCAATATTCGATCTTTAAATGCTTATAAAAAAATTGTGTCTATGTATTTTTAATATTTTCAACTGCTATTGTAAACAATACATCACTAGCCTTGTATAAAATGTTTACACTTTTTGGCCCAACAGATAAAACTTTATTGATATTCATAGAAAAAAAAAATTGAAATATGAAATTGTCCGTAAACAGCTCAAAAAAAGTCAAAATATTTCAAAAATTTTATGTATCTACAGTTATTCGTTTTTGAATTACATATTCAACAAATTAAGAAAATCGCTACATGAGAAATAGAGTGAATATCCAATGTTGTAAAAAATTGAATTTCAAACGCTCATAAAAATTTAATTTGACTTTCTTATAGACATTTTTTTTTTTTTATAAAGGTAGATAATCATTGTAAAATCAAAACATTCATCGTTCCACTCAGAATCTAAAATCATATATTTTTATAACAATAAATAATTGTTACACATATCTAATGGCTAATAAAAAAAATATAAAAAAAATATATAAAAAAAATATAAAAAAAATATATAAAAAAATATATAAAACTTAAAAATAAAAATAATAATTATCTAAACAAATCATACAAAGTGTACCTACCTAATGTGTATAGTGTATTACGTCAAAAAATCATATCATAATAAATATTTGTATTTTGTAATAGTAATCATAATATTTTTAACTGTGGACTAAAATGATGGGATGACATTTGTAGATTTTTTAACTTTTAATTAAAATTTATATTGCGTTCTTTAATACGCAAATTAAAATTTTAATTTGAAAGAATGTTAAGTTCTAAGAATAATGGTATAGGTTTTACGTATATACTCCCATTATTCAATAAGTTATGACTTATGAGTAGGTACCTAATTGAAAAAGCCGCGTACCAATAAAGTTATTGGGCCCGGCTCGTCGTAATTGCCTATCTTATTCTAATTTTCGAAAAAAAATGTGTAGGCACACTATTTGTCTGCCAATTGTTAATATACCTACTGTATAGGATTCATAAATAATTTATATTTTATAATAATATGTAACTAGTATAAAATATTATCAAATTGAAGTAATTAGACTATAAGTATATTTTAATTAAAATAACTAAGACATAATCACTTTATTTCAAATTAATTTACTTCCCGAAATCATAATAACAAGACCAATATTAAATAGAACTGAAATTAATTAAGAAGGTACCAATACCGATTTAACTAATATTGATTTTAATCAAGCCACCATATTTGTCTGTAATAATACAAATAATAATGTCGGTATTTAAAATACATATTTTTAGTACACTCAACACTTCAATAACAACGACTTTAATATTTATATTAGAAAAATTATTTACCTATGAGTTATTTTATAAAACTTTCTTTGGTTCATTTTTAAAACAATAGTTATAACAATTAAACAATAATTATATATTTATATACTATGAGCAAAGGTCCAAAATTGTAGAGTTAGTACTTCTTCTGTACATTATGATTATATAATGTAGTGTAGTAGGTAGTGTTCACAAAAATAGATCAACTTATTTATACAAAGGTCTCCATTTTAAATTTAAATTATGTTTTTATCTCAGTTCATATTTTTTAATTTGTAAGCATAAATAAAACATTACATAACCTAAAACCTTAATACACTTTATTTTAATACTACAAATCTGAAACGAATACAATTTTAATTAGATTATTCATTATCTGAAATAGAAAATAGAAATAGGTAATTGCAAATATTTTTCTAATCATTTTCAGTACATTTTTTTCCTAACTTTATTATGAGCAAAATCGTGAATTATTTTTCAATATTTAATTCTTTGTTTTCTATTCTTTAATGT